TTTTGGTTTGTGGAAGCAGTTTGGGTGTATAAAAAAAATTATCTAAATCCGATTACAAGATAGGATATACAAGTTAAGCCCATGCCATGAATTTTATTTAACAACACCCATATGTAAGTATATAATTGGCATTTAGATCTAAGATAACGCTGTGAACATTCTCTTTTAATTTTTATACAAGGCGTGTTCTACTTTAAATTAATAATAGTATAGATTAAACTTTGTGACCTGAAAAGATCAAATAATACATATTATTATTGGCTTTAAAATAATATAATCAAATCTAATAAAATGATAAAAGTGATGTGAAAATATTCAATTTCATCCAATCATAATTTAACAATCTAATTAATTTAATAATCTATTAAATAAGAAGAAAATAAATGCACATACTGTTTAAGAGATGAAATACCAATGAAATTATTGCATTCTCAATCTGAAAAACTTTAAACATACAATATAATTATTACTACTGTGTATTATCTATCTATCTATGATCTTTTCTAAAGGTACAAGTTGGGAAAAAACTTTCCATAGGTCAATATTTTCTTATTGGATTTTTTTATTTACTTATTATTAACATAAATTATATCCTATCAAACCGATGTCAACTAACTACCTCCTGCAATCAATAATAATAAAAATAAGATACAAAATATAGAATACTAGTCTCCAACATATATTTTATTAGGTTAAGAATTAAAAACTTAATATGTGAAGGTACAAATAAGATGGAAACATTCTGTAAAGAACTTAAACCAGACTATCCAAAAGATGTTGACCATAGGTGAATCCACATATCATGTAGTATACCATAGGAATATAATAAATTATAAATGATTTATTCTTTTTTATACTTCTATGTTCTAAGCTCTGGTGCATGTATAAAATAACTGAAGGTGATGACAGTTTATAAGTACTTTTTAAAAATGTTACAGTTTTTTTATACTGATACTACAATGTTATTATCTGCTGTTATTATTCACATTATTTTAGCTCGCTTTAAAGTTTTAAAAAAATATCCAAAAATTAATAATATGTTGAATAATTATCTTAGAAATATAATTTTTTTCAATGAAAGTAAATTTAATAATTTATGCTTTCATATTATTTTTGTTTGGAGGTCTTTTGGATCAGTGTTTGGAAGGATTTGCCCTTGAGTTTTGTTTAAATGTTCTTGTGGATAAATAAAATGACCTGATGATGTCAAATCGTTTACTTTGCTACACTCATCCATAATCTATTAAAAATTATTTTTAAACGATTATATGATGAGTAGCACAGCTGAATAATGGTGTAGCTATTACACACTAGTCTACAACTTCTCGCTTCTATAAGCTCAGTCGGGACAAAAAGTGTAAGTTTTTGGATAGGTTATCCAATAGTTACTGAGCTAACTAGTGAATCTGAAAACTGGATCATCAGCAGAGGTTTTTGGAAAATGGGGATCAATATGTTAACTACATCTTTAATTTAAATGTCAAAATAATAGTTTTAGTACTTGCAATGGGTGGACAAGTTATTGAACAGTTTCATATCATATAATTTTCTATCATTGGCCATGACTTACTAACAGTCAGGTTCCACTATGCTCAAAATCCGTTCTCAACAGCAGGACTTTAATCGACTGCACACCAAGACATCCGTTAGATTCGATATACTGTACAGAACGTCATAAGAATGTAAGCGAAAAAACATGAATCCAGATAGCTTGATATTAAGAATAAATTTAAACCGAGTTAGGACTAACAGATAATAATAAAAATCATCATTCAATAAATAAATTTTTATTTCTTAGTCTGAAATCTTGTAATAAATTAATTTAAATTAGTTACAAATGATAATGATATAGTAGTAGATGCCCAACTAGTTATGGAGTGTACTTTCTATTGTGATAACGACGATATTCCAAAAAAACTTATAATTGTAAACAATTTACTCGAATTATTAATAAGAAGTTATTTATCCATTTATTTTTATAATTTTTTGTATTTAATGATTTATGTATTTCAAATGATTAATAAATAAATAATTATAAATTTTAAATTAAATTTGTTTAAGTTTTAGTTATGTTTATTATTGAAAATTTAAACGAATTGAAAAAAATTAAAAATTATAAAACTCAAAAAAAAAAAAAAACGGGGCCGGTCCAAAAAAAAAGACAACGACCGGTCAGAGAAAGGGCGGCGGCCATTTGACAGCGCCTAATAGTAACCCATTTGTTGTTATCAATAACATCACACTCAAGTTTTTCTTGGCCCACTGAAGACTCATTGGATGAGTACAATAGAATAAAATATTAATTTACGACTTTTAAGCAATTTCAGTAAAGATAAATAAATAACTTCCACAACATAGATTCCTGACAAAGAATAATGCTAACTGGCACAACAATTTAGACACTAGTGATTACTTTAAAATGACAAGATGGGTCTCCGTCACTCATCAACTATTCAAATATGACAGAGGGGTCAACACATATATAGCATACCTTCTAACAATTACTAAGGATAAGCCCCTGCAAATCATAAGGATTTAAGTCAATAGAAAAACTCACAAGCACTACAAAATGCCTTTCCTTTATTCTTCATCCTGTATTTTTATGAATACCGGCATTAGTTTTAACTATTTATCCGATCAAAATGTTTAGAATGATGAAAGCGATTTCTAGTGTACAATAAAAAACATAACTGTCCAGCTTGTTACCCGATAAATATAATTACAAATGAAAGTATTCCTCACTGTTATCATAATCCACAAATTTCACGAGGCGAATATATGAAAAGCCCCTGGTATCAATAAGGGAAGCTCAACCCTAAAAGGGAAGTTTAAACATCAACACGTGTACGCGAACGACACACTAAAACGGAAGTTTAACATTAACATCAACACACACACAAATGAAAAAATGAAAAAAAATTAAAACTAAAGAGATAAAAAATCCAAATTTCATGAAAACCGAGCTGGTGAGTTAAGTACCTATGCTAATACCCTCTCCTCAGTCTCTATGGTGTAGTAGCGAGCGCCTTCCCATCCGCACCGCGCATTATTAGTGCACAACCTCCGAGCGTAAGGTCGACTCACGGTAAACAGTATTCCCACCTATACAGATCTAAAACAGCCCGGGGGAAAACAAGTTGCATATGAAATTATTTAATATATCAGTAACCGCAAAACAACAACAACAAACATATTCCATCACCTCATCTCAGAGGGTTCCTTTTTTATTTTCAGCATATATGTTCTCTTTCAAACATGCATGCAACATTCTAGCTTTATTCCTCCAAGCGAAGCAACTATGTTATGCAGGGGCGGTCCAGAAAATTTCTTCCTTTGGAGGTTTTGGCAGGGGGGGGGGGGGGGGGGCCGGGGGCCCGCGGGGGGGGGGCCGGGCGGGGGGGCCGGGCGGGGGGGGGGGGCGGGGGGGGGGGGGGGAACACGTGCTATGTTATAAAAATAAATTAAATTAATAATCATAAGTACATGTGTAGACGGTACTTAGACCTACTTATTGTTAAAAATTTAGACGGAATTTTTACTTTCCAATGAGCTAAATTCAAATTGTTACTACATCTATGCGTTTTTTAGATTGCTGTGGTTTGGGTGTAATTTAATTGTTATTTTTATTTTGGGGTGGGTTGGCATAATGTAAAAGGTGCATGACTTTTACAATGCAAATTATAAATGTCTAGGGGTCAATTGCACCTAGCTGGGCCAGTAAGATCCCCCTATATGTATGCTACAGAGTAAGAATCTCAGTATCATCTTGGTTGTGTTTCTCAATATTGGGATTTTTTGACGGTTTTGCCTGTTTCTAATGGTTTTGATCATTTCTTATTTTCCTCCATATAACTATATTCAAAATATGTGGGTAAGAATGAATGAAGGGGATCAATTATGATCGTGTCCGGAGCTTTAATAAAACAGGTTAGTTGGTTTACAACATAATGATGAAATAACCAATTATCCTTACAAAATCCTGCTGGCTCCTGTTTGGTTAAGTGAGCTAGATCAAGATTGCTACCCTAGTTTTGAAAAAATGACAGTTCTCTAAAAGCATTACCTATAAAGACAAATTCATGCATTTGCTTTTAGGGTATGCTTTAGACTGTCATTTTCAACTAGGTAGCAATTTGATCTAGCTTCACTTTACCAACAGGAAGCCAAGGCAGGTTTTGTCAAAGGGATATAAATTGGTATTCATCAGTTATGTGGTAAACCGCCAATCTAACTGATTTTTAAAACAGCTCGACACGAATTATATTGGACTTCATTCATTCTTACCATATTTTGATATGTTTATTGGGAGGAAAATAAGAAATGACTCCCAACCTTAGAACCGGCAAACCGTCAAAAATCCCCATATTGAGAACACACCAAGATTGGATACCTGAGATTCTACTCTTGTAAACATACTATAAGGGCCGGATCTACTGCCGACTAAGGGTGCATTGCCACCCCCTCACATTTATATTTGCGTAAAGTCATGACGCTTTTTACATTTGCCCTTCCACCACCCCAAAATAAAAATAAAATTAAAATTAGCACCCAAGACCCAGGCAAGTTCGTAAAAAACGCTATAGATGTTAGTAACAATTTGAATTAGGCTCATTGAAAGTTAAAAAAATCCGTCTGAAATTTTTAACATAAAAGTGTTCTGTACGTCCATCATGTACTATGATTTTTAATTTATTTTATTTTAGGTTGACATAGCACTTGCTTGCCCCCCCCCCCCCCCCCGCAAACCTCAAAAGGGAAAATTTTCTGGATCGGCCCTGCATACATAGTTGCTTCCTTTGGATGATAAAGCTAGAATGTTGCATGCATGTTGAAAGAGAACCATAATGGGCGTTGAAAATAAAAAAGGAACCCTTGAGATGAGGTGGAATATGTTTGTTGGTTGTTGTTTTGCTTACCTGAATATTAAATATTTCATATGCAAGTTGTTTTCCCCCCTGTTTAATCTGTTATTATTGGAATACTGTTTTTACCTGTGGCAGGTCGGACCTTACCGCTCATGTGCACTAATAAGCCCTTCATAAGGCGCTTGCTACTACACCATAGAGACTGAGGAGAGGGTATTAGCAGAAGGTACTAACTCACCACTTCGGTTTTCCATGAATTTGGATTTTTTTATCTTTTAGTTTTTAATTTTTTTTTCATTTTTTTCATTTGTGTGTGTGTGATGTTAAACTTCCGTTTTAGTGTGTGTGCGCGTACACGTGTGATGTTAAACTTCCCTTTTAGGGTTGAAGCTTCCCTTATTGATACAGGGGTCTCTTTCAGTGATATTCGCCTGTGAAATTTGTGGATATATGATAACAGCTGAGGAATACTTTCATGGATATATATATTTATGGTAACAGCTGGGAGCAGTTATGTTTTTTATTGTACACTAGAAATCCTTTCATCATTCTAACTATTTGATCGGGATAAATAGTTAAACTAATGCTCGTGTATCATATAAATACAGAGATGAAAATAAAGGAAAGGAGTTGTAGTGCTTGTGAGTTTTTCTATTGATTAAATTCCTTTATGATTTGCAGGGGCTTATCCTTAGTAATTTGTTAGAAGGTATGCTATATATGTGTGACCCCTCTGCTCATATTGAAATGAGTGATGAGCTGAGGAGACCCATCTTGTCATTTTAACATAATTACACTAGTGTCTAAATTGTTGTGCAGTTAGCATTATTCTTTTGTGAGAATCTAGTTTGTGGAAGTTATTTATTTATTTTACTGAAATTGCTTAAAAGTCGTGAAATTAATATTTATTCTATGTACTCATCAATGAGTTTCAGGGCAAGAAAAACTTTGAGGTGGACTGTATTTGATAACAACAAAATGGGTTACCATTAGGGGTGTCCAAATGGCCCCGCCCGGCCTGGAAAACCGGGCTCGGGCTGGGCTCTGGACCGGCCCGTTTTTTTTTTTTTTTTTGAGTTTTATAATTTTTTAATTTTTTTAATTCTTTAAATTTTCAATAATACATAACTAAAACTTAAACAAAATTTAATAAAAATTTATATTATTATTTATTAATCATTTGAAATTACATAAATTATAAATACAAAAAATTATAAAAATTAAAATGATAAAAATAACTTCTTTATTAATAATCAGTAAATTGTTTACAATTATAAGTTTATTTTGGAATTCGTCGTATCACAATAGATAAGTACATCCTAACTAGGTTGGCATCTACTTATCTATATCATTATCATTTGTAACTAATTTTAAAATAATTTATTACAAATTTTCAGCTAAGAAATAAAAATTATAATGTGATGAATATTGTTTACTCTTTATATTTATCTGTTAGTCCTAACTCTTTAAATTTATCTTCAATATCAGCTATCTGATTGATGTCTTGCGTTCTCTTCTCGTACATTCACTAATCTTGTAAGCACATGACCGTCTGTACAGTATACGAATCTAACGATGTCTTGTGGTCGTCGATTAAAAGTCCTGCTGTGTTGAAGACGGATTTTGAAGCTATCGTGGACACCTGCACTGTTAGTAAGTCATGAGCCATGATTTAATTTTTTTAATTCTTTAAATTTTCAATAATACATAACTAAAACTTAAACAAAATTTAATAAAAATTTATATTATTATTTATTAATCATTTGAAATTACATAAATTATAAATACAAAAAATTATAAAAATTAAAATGATAAAAATAACTTCTTTATTAATAATCAGTAAATTGTTTACAATTATAAGTTTATTTTGGAATTCGTCGTATCACAATAGATAAGTACATCCTAACTAGGTTGGCATCTACTTATCTATATCATTATCATTTGTAACTAATTTTAAAATAATTTATTACAAATTTTCAGCTAAGAAATAAAAATTATAATGTGATGAATATTGTTTACTCTTTATATTTATCTGTTAGTCCTAACTCTTTAAATTTATCTTCAATATCAGCTATCTGATTGATGTCTTGCGTTCTCTTCTCGTACATTCACTAATCTTGTAAGCACATGACCGTCTGTACAGTATACGAATCTAACGATGTCTTGTGGTCGTCGATTAAAAGTCCTGCTGTGTTGAAGACGGATTTTGAAGCTATCGTGGACACCTGCACTGTTAGTAAGTCATGAGCCATGATAGAAAATATATGATATGAAACTGTTCAATATACTTTCCACCATTGCAAAGTATCTAAACTATTATTTTGACATTTAAATAAAGATGTAGTTAAATATTGATCAATTTCAAAAACCTCTGCTGATGATCCAAGTTCAGATTCACTAGTTAGCTCAGCTACTATTGCATACCTATCAAAACTTACACTTTTGTCCCGACTTGAGCTTATAGAAGCAGAAGTTGTAGACTAGTGTGTAGCTACACCATATTTAGCTGCGTACTCATCATATAATCTTTAAAAATAATTTTTAATAGTATTATGATGAGTAGTAGCAGTAATGATTTGACCATCATCAGTGTCTATAATCATATTACCATACAAGAAATTTAACAAACTTCGAAGGGCAATATCCTTCAAACACGGATCAAAAAGAACCTCCAAACCAAAAATAATAGGAATATGCATAAAATATTTATTAAATTTACTTTCCATTTGAAAAATTATATTTCTAAGATAATTATTCATACGATATTTATTAATTTTTTTTGAATATTTAAAACTTGTAAAGCAGCTAAAATAATGGTTGAATAATAACAGCCAGATAATAACATTGTAGTATCATAAAAAACTTGTAACATTTTTTTAAAATTACTTATAACTGTCCATTCACCTTCAGTTATTTTATACATGCTACCAGAGCTAGAACTAGAAGTATAAAAAGCAATAAAATCATTTATAATTTATTTATATTCTATTGCTATACTTAACATTGCATATGTGGAATTTCACCTATGGTCAACATCTTTTGGAATTAGTCTGGGTTTTATATTTTTTCTTTTACAGAATTGTTTCCATCTTATTTTGTAACACTTCACATATAATGTTTTTTAATTCTTTACCTTAATAAAATAATATTGTGGAGCTATTTCATATATTTTGTTAATCTTATTTTTTTATTATTATTGAGTTGTAGGTAGTTGACATGGGATTTGGATAGGATATAATTATGATTAAGATAAATTAAGATTTAAATAAAAAATCCAAAATAGTGAAGGGTAATATTGACTATGGAAAGTTTTTTCCGAACTTGTACTTTTAAAAGGAGTATCATTAGATTAGATTAGATTAATTTACAGTAATTAATTATATTGTATGTTTAAGCTTTTTTCAGATGAGAAATTGCAATAATTTTCATGGTATTTCATCTCCTACAACATGTATGTGTCTTTATTATTTTCTTCTTATTAGATTAGATTATTAAATTAGATTAGATTGTTTAAAATTATGAATTATGAAATTGCAATAATTTTCACATCACTTTTATCTATTTTTATTAGATTAGATTATATTATTTTAAAGCAATTAATAATATTGTATATTTGATCTTTTTTCAGGTCACAAAGTTTAATTATACTATTATTATTTAAGTAGACACTGCTTGTATAAAAATTAAAGAGAATCTCACACGTATCTTAGATCTCAATGCCAATTATAATACTTACATATGGGTGTTAGTTAAAATAAATTTCATGCATGGGCTTAACTTGTATGATCCTACTTTAATCGGATTAGATAATTTTTTTTACACCCAAACTCTTCCACAAAACCAAAAGAGAGTAGCAATGATATAGCTATATATATCCACAAGATCATAGATATCTTAAAAATGAATGAAGAAAACTACACAAATAAAAATCATATTTATTACCCCCACACGCCTATGAAAGCACCCTAAGGTCGCTATAAAAGAACCCTAGAGGGGGATGAATAGAGTTTATGCTAATCTAATCCGATTTAAATGTCGATTAAAACTAATTAACAAATATCCTAGCAAATATGATATGCAACAAGATATATGCAAGGATAATAAATCAAGGGCAATATGAACACAAACAAGATAGTGGGAATATGAACAATAAGCAATAGACAAAGGCGATATAAGATATGAACACAAAAATAAATGCGCCAATGCAATCACAAATAAATGATATGATCACGGAGTTCGATCCCCACGACCTACGTCTCCGCTCCTCACATCGAGGAGATCTATACTATCACAATCGGGTTTTCTACGCTCATCCGAATAATGTTTACACCTCACACTCGGTTTTCTAGTTCACCGAAAATTTTACAATCACTCACAATGTAACTACACTAACTACCACCTCAAGTGTTGGTCTCTAACCCGTGTCTCCCTCAAGTGTTAGGAATTACAACCTCTCTAGGCATTACCACCTATCCCACTCCTCTTGGGACGATCACGTCTCTCACCATACACTCCTCTTGGTGTACTAGTGTAATACAAGGTGAACTTCACGATTAAGCCACTCTACAACAATTCACACAATTGTAAATACACTTAACACCCTCTAAGTGTTGGTCTCCAGCCCGTGTTTCCCTCAAGTGCTCGGAATTACGACCTACCTCTAAGCTTTACTACCGACGCCACTCCTCTTGGGACAACCTCGTCTCTCACCAACTACTTTTCTCGGTGTCCAAATATAATACAATATGGTCTACACAATTAGGCTCACTACAACAAATTATTGTTCTCCAAACAAGGTGATGACTCAATTAAGCATAACTCAATGTTACAAACTCTCACAACCCCAATTATACTATGTAAAAAAATACTAAAAGCTCAAGTGGGTGTGTGTAATAATGAGATAAATAAAACAAATTACACTCAATATAAATTCTAGCTTATGGAAATGAAAATCAAACAAATAAATAGCTAGATATGAGTTTAGAAAAACTTCTCTAGATGACAAGAGAGAGGGAGAAGAGTTGAATGCTCAAACACCAATGGATGATCTCCTCAAGCTCTTGTGAAAATTTCTTCACAAACAAACTCTTGAAACACTTTTAAACAAACTAAACAAGCACTTAAACTTTCTTAAAACTTGTTTAAAACACTCTCTTGGTTGTTATGAAAGATGAGAGAAAGAGGGTATTTATACCCACTCAAAACTTCAGCAAAAACCCCAATGAAATGACCAAAAACCCTCACAAAAACAAATCTGGGAAATAGCCGTTACTGTATAACGGTCACATTTATAAATCGACTTGCATTCGACTTAGTATAAGTCGACTTGCATTCGACTTACAATAAGTCGACTTGAAAGTTCACATAAGTTGACTTGCAGAAGAAAATTAACACTCAAAACTCAAGTCATAAGTCGACTTGAAAAATTCACAAGTCGACTTAGACTAAGTCGACTTAACAGTTCGTATAAGTCAACTTGGCTGAGAGATTTTGCACATTCCAGAGCATTTCATAAGTCGACTTGTCAGGGTTTATAAGTCAACTTATAAATATGCACATGCACTGTTCATGCTAAAAATCTGATTTTAAAAGTACCTTTAAAAATAGCAAATAAATTCAGAAAAATTTAAAACTTTGAAA